CAAAGCTCACAGCAACCTCAAACTCTTGGGCTTAAGCAATTCTCTTGCCTCAGCCTCCCAAGTAGTTGGGACTATGGGCACCTGCCACAATGCCCAGCTATTTTATGGTTCTAGTTCTCACTGTTTGGCAGAACTGGGCTGGATTCGAACCTGCTGGCTCCCGTGTATGTGGCTGGTGCCCTAGCTGCTAAGCTACAGGCACTGAGCCTGGGCTATGTATTTTAATATGAGAGCTACTTTAGTCACCTGTGGTCCAATCTGAGAGTATTCTGTTTTTCGGTAGGCAAATCCTACTGTTCAGCTCAATTTTTTTTATAGGTGTGACTGATCTATTTGGCCTTAGGTCTCAGTATATTTCCTATTGTGTGTCCTGTTTTCATTCCTTTTATGTCCTTTAACCTTTCATCCGGTGGCGGGTCTTGATTTCCTTTTTACTGTTTTGGATGTGTTACTTCTGTTTCAGAGCACAGCAAAGGGAGGACCTCCTCTAAAGTGTTCTTAGGAATCTAAGCATAATCCTGATATCCATAATCTTGATATAGATTGAGATAAGATGGGAGATGAGATCTGAGGCTGCAAAGAAGCATAATGACAGGCCTATGGCTACACAAGTTTCGAGGAATTTTGACCTTTCTTCTTAATGCCAGGATTTTAGGTACACGTGCACCTTACCGTTGCTTGTAGTCTTTTGTGCTGCTATGATAGAATACCTGAGATTGGGTAATTTACAAAGAACAGAGATTTACTTCTCACAGTTTTGGAGGCTGGGAAGCCCAAGATGAAGGCCCTGGCATTTGTGCTGGTGAGGGCCTTCTTGCTGTGTCTGCACATGGTTGAAGGAAGAAGGGCAAAATAACAAGCTAGCAAGCTAACCAAATGTTGCATGAAGCCTCTTTTAAAAGACTCATAATTGCTAAATGCAGTGCACATTCCTGGATCAATTTTCAAAGACTGGTCATAGCCTGCTGTGTTAAAATAATAACATATGCTGTTTTTCATCAGATTTGTTGATGATGTAAATAAATGTGTAAATATATTAGTAAATGTTAATATTCATGTATTTTAAGTTAAGGTTATAAGATTTGTCATGATGGGCGGCTCCTGTGGCTCAGTGAGTAGGGCACTGGCCCTATATACTGAGGGTGGTGGGTTCAAACCCTGCCCCGGCCAAACTGCAATAACAGAAAATAGCCGGGTGTTGTGGTGGGTGCCTGTAGTCCCAGCTACTCAGGAGGCTGAGGCAAGAGAATCGCCTAAACCCAGGAGTCGGAGGTTGCTGTGAGCTGTGATGCCACAGCACTCTACCAAGGGCAATAAAGTGAAACTGTCTCTTGAAAAGAAAAAAAACTGTCGCAATGTGATTTTTTTTTATTCAAGTAAAACAGATGTGTGCAGCTATTTTGCATATTGGTTTATAAACATTCACATTCTTTATCAAATGAAAAAAAATAAGAGGCTCATAATTTTTTTTTTTTTTTTGAGACAGAGCCTCAAGCTGTCCCCCTGGGTAGAGTGCTGTCTTATCACAGCTCACAGCAACCTCCAACTCCTGGGCTCTAGTAAGTCTCCTGCCTCCACCTCCCACGTAGCTGGGACCACAGGTGCCCGCCACAACGCCCGGCTATTTTTTGGTTGCAGCCGTCATTATTGTTTGGCGGGCCTGGGCTGGATTTGAACCCGCCACCTTAGGCATATGTGGCTCGCACCTTAGCCACTTGAGCCACAGGCACCGAGCCAAGACTCATAATTTGAAAGAAGGCTAGGTGCAGCAACATGTACCTATAGTTCGAGCTTCAAGGCCTCACTTGAGGTGAGGGTTTTGAGGCTGCACTGCACTATGATCATGCCTGTAAATAGCCACTGCACTACATCCTGGGCCACTAAGTGAGATCTCACTTCTAAAAAAATAAAAATAAAAATGAACATTTTAAAAAAATTCAAAAGGGCCTTAACCTATCAATAAGAAAGCAGCCCTCATGCCCTAATCACCTCTTAACTGCTCCACCTCTTAATACTATCACATTGGCAACACCTGAATTTTGGAGGGGACACATTCAAACCACAGCATAGTACCTTGAGTGGAGGTGATTTTATTTCTAGCTCATTTTTTTTATTATTGAAAGTGAAGACTTTTTGTTCCCAGATCGATGTCAGCAGTTATTATTAGCGTGAGTAACTTTGGTTTGACAGATGCTCTCAAAGTGAAGGGGAGGAGATAGTGGATGTTGTGATCTGAATGTTTGTGTCCTCTCAAAATTAATATGTTGAAACAGAATCACCAAAGTTATGTTATTGAAATGTGGTGCCTTTGAGAGATGATTAGTGAAAGGTGTAAATGATGGTGCCGAGAGATGAGGCCACGGTGGAGATGTTCAGGCCAGGTTTATTTTATTTTTTTTTCTCTTTTATTTATTTATTTATTTATTTTGAGACAGAGCCTCAAGCTGTCCCCCTGGGTAGAGTGCCGTGGCATTACAGCTCACAGCAACCTCCAACTCCTGGGCTCAAGCGAGTCTCCTGCCTCTGCCTCCCAAGTAGCTGGGACCACAGGCACCCGCCACAATGCCTGTCTATTTTTTGGTTGCAGCCATCATTGTTGTTTGGCAGGTCCGGGCTGGGGATTCGAACCTGCCACCTTAGGTGTACGTGGCTGGCGCCTTAGCCGGTTGAGCTATAGGTGCCGAGCTGGCCAGGTTTATTGAAAGGGGAGATGACTTCCCTAGGCAGTGCAAAGGTGACATCTGCAACTGGGGGCAATTAGAGACCCCTTTAATACGGGTCCTTAGTTGGTGGGCACATTCCACAGATTGCCTGGAAACTTAAGAGTCTCTTGGCAGGAACTTCTCAGGGTAGGGAGTGGGGCTAGACAGACACTTTGTGTCTTTGTCTTAGAAGGAGAGGAGGAGGAGGAGAAGTAGGGGAAAGGCGTCGTATGTGAGTGCATTAGGCCCCCCAGAAATTAGCCCTCATGAATAGGATTAGTACCCTTATAAAAGAGGTCCAGAGGGAGCTTGTTTGCCCTTTTCACTATGTAAGGATGCAGCAAGAAGATGCCATCAGTGAGGAATGGGTTCTCAGTAGACACCAAATCTGCTGGCGCCTTGATCTTGGACTTCCCAGCCTCCCAGAACTGTGAGAAATAAACGTCTGTTGTTTGTAAGTTACCCAGTTCATGATAGTTTTGTTACATGGGATAGTGGAATGAGGGGACCAAGACAGTGGAGTGTCTCTATTTATTGAGGTTGCTGTGGCCAACCTCAATAAATAGTGGTCTCCTCTGAAGTCAGTACCATTTAGCAAGCTGTAGAAATGGGGGATTTCCTAAAAATGTACGAGAGTGTGGATAGATGGTGTTTCTTCGTGTTCAATGAACTTTTATAGAGCAACATGTAGTGCATGGCACACATTATTTTGAGAATTTTGCAGTGAACAAAGTAGACAAAATAGTCTTTGTTTTGTGAAGATACAGATAATAAAACAGCAATGTATATGGATAAACATTTTTATCATTTGGTGATTGCATACACACACACACACACACACACACACACATATATATCCATCCCCTGGTGATAAATGCTTAAGTGGTACGGATGAAAGTAGAACAAGATAGGAGAATGAGGAGTCATCTGTGGATATGGGGTAGGCAAATAAGGCCTCAATGATAAAGTGCTATTTGAGCAGAAATTTGAAGGAAGGGAGAGAATGTTTAAAGTAGGAGCTGCCAGGCAGAAGGAATGGCAAGGACAAGGCCCTGAGGCAGAGGGATACCTGCCATCATGCTTCTTTACAGCCTCTCATCACATCTCCAGTGTATTCAGTGTCCAGTGGTAACCCCAAAATATCTCAAGAATTTACTTTAAATAGTCCCAGGTTGATGCGACCCCAGCTACCTGAGAGAAGTAAATATGAAGGCACTTTGGTGTAAACCACCTTTCAACTCACAGATAAAATTCCAAGATATAAGAACCCACAGTGGAAAAATAAAATCACAAAGCACACAAGAAAAAGAGACACTATTAGAAAGATTCATAAGAAAGAACAACAGTCAAACCTATAAAACTTTAGATGCTGAAGTTACCAGACATAGACTATAAAAGAAATATATATTTAAAGTAACAAAAGAAGGTGTGTTTGTTTGCTAGAGTAA